GCCCCCCCCCCCCCCCCCGCGCGGAGAAGAGAGAGTGGTGATGGACACACAACCCCCCGCCCACACACGGGCGGCGCTGCACCGGCACACACGGTGGCAACTGGGGGAAAGAAAATGTGCGCGCGTTGCGGCACCTCCGCGTACTACTCCCTCCCCCTGCCGGCCGCCACCATCATACCGAGCGCGGATGGGCCGCGAGCGGAGGGGAGGGGGGGGGGGGAAGTTCACTCAACGAATGTGGGCCCATACGCGTGTGTGCCTCTACTCCCAGGTGGCATCGGCCATGCCGCTGTAGACATAGCTGTAGTCCGGAGGGGCAGTGGCCGAGGGAATCGGCAGCAGGGCAATGGCCACCGGGACACGGGCCACCAGGTCGAAGGCCATCTTGATGTCACACTCGACCGTGATGGTGTCTGGGGGGCGCGCGCGTGTGCATTGGGATTGTCAATCCGCCAATGTCAGTGGCCAGTGACCCTGTGTCGCAGGAGGCTGCGGCGAGCGAGGGGGGGGGGGGGGGCGAGGGGCAAAATCGAGGGAGGGGGACGCACAGTTCGAGGTGATCAGGTTGCCGGAAGCAGTGCCCTGGACGCTCTCCGGGACGGTGAAGGTGAGGTCGGCGGAGGCCGTGCTGGCCGGCTCGATCGGGGTGTTGAAGACATTGCGGTAGATCTCGGTGGTGATGGTCTTGCGCGCGGACCCGGCGCAAATGGTCACAGTGCGGAAGAGGATGACCTTCAGCTTGTCGACGCGGCGCTTGGACTCGTTGTTGACCTTGACCACGGCGCTGAGGGTCTCGCCCGGGGAGTAGACCGACTTCGGCAGAGTGGCGTCCATGTAGAGGCGCTTGGAGCTGAAGATGAAGCTCTTGTCGACCTTGACATTGACCGGGGCAATCTGGCGGACGATGTTTTCGTTGATGATGATGCTGCTGGTGTCCTGGAAACGGGGGTGGTTGCCCTCGGCGGTGACGATGGCCTCGTAGGAGATGGCCGCGCTGTAGCGCTCCTCGAAGCTGCCGGTACCGCGAGTGAAGAAGACACCAGGCAGACTGGCGTGTGTGTGTGTGTGTGTGTGTGTGTGTGTGTGTGTGTGTGTGTGTGACAGCCACCACGTGCAGGCACAAACAGACGAGGGCCAGGGCCGGGGGGTGGGGGGGGGGGGAGAGATACATAGACGGGCGGATGGGGAGATGCATGCAAGGTCAGGCGAGGGAAGGCCCCGCGGCAGGAAGTCACCGGCACATATGGACGTACCCCTGGGGCAGGGTGAAGGTGAAGGGGAACACATGGAGGCCCGGCTGCAGACCGCCGGACGGGTGGGCGATGACGATGGTCTGGTCGAAGAAGGAGTGGCGGCTGCTGTGCAGCCGGTAGTAGTGGTTGCCGATCTGGATCTCATTGCGGAGCAGGGACCTCGGGTGCTCCGAGTTCACGGTGCCCGACATCTCACGGATGAAGCTCCGCTCATAGCCGTGCCAGCGAATGCTGATGGTATGGGTATGGAGGAAGCTGCGAGCATCGAGCTCTGTGCCGGGGTACGCGCGCGCACGTGTGAGACGAGGAGCAGAAAGGGGAGGCACGGCACATCGGCGAGGAAAGAGCCGACAGGGCATGGCCAATGGCAGGGCCCACGAGCAGGATCGAGGCTGGGGCAAAGACAGGGAGAGAGAGAGGGAGGGAGACCCCAAAGAAGGCGGGCCAGGGGAGCGTACCAGCGGTGCCCTGGATGGTCTCGCCAGAGACGTAGTACGGCTTGTCGACGGTCAGGCGGATGGAGCTGCCATCGTGGAAGAAGGCGGCGGCAAAAGCACGGAACATGCTGGGAAGTGTATGAAAGGCGGGAGAGCAGAGACAGGGCGCGCAGGCCACAGAGGGGAGGGGAGGGGGTGCCAGATGCAAGCAGGATGGGGTCTCAGCAGCCTGGCCCCGGTCACCCTTTGAAATAGGCGCGCCGCTCGCGCCGCCCCGGTCACTCCCCCCCCCCCCCGTCCTCCGACGCCCAGCTGCCCCACCCTCCCGGGTTCGCCCGGTTCCGAGTCGAC